TCTTGGGATCTTCGGCAGATCAAGTGAGTATTGTGGACAAAGAAAATGGGGATCACCTAGTGAAGTTGCTCCAAAGGGAAGCTCGCTAAAGTGTTTTACTTGAATTTTCCTGCTGATCGACAGATTTCCATCTCTAAATGGATTTGATCTGTCGAATTGCTCTAGTAAAGAAGGTCATTAAGGTTCTTGATGCTTGTTTCGATGATGCATTGGAGACTTGAAGTGGCGCATACGAGAAATTGACCATCAGGGTGGTGCCATTCATGAGATTACACGCATATGGGCAAGTTAATTGGCCAGATATTACTCCCACAAGGAGCTTTTACTGCTTCTTTTGACTGTGGTTTACAATAGCCTCGGTTATTCCCGCAAGCTTGTATCAGCCTTGGGAGAAAAGGACCCTGATAGATTTCCATCTGTGCGGCTCGAGGTGGAGATGCTTAATATTATCCATAACTTGATTACTTCTAGAAACACCTTGATAGATTTTTTTGTTGATCCTTCGTCTTCTTCTCTAAAAATTTGACAATGTTTTTGTTTTTGTTTTGTGAAGAAGCCATTGGTATTGATAATAGCCTGTGAGAAACTCTGTTGAGCATCGTGAAAGCCTCAGAGTCATCAACGAGCACATTTCTCGCGAATTTTCGCAAATATGCTCAATTACCTTGTATGAGAAAGTATAGTGGCGTGTTTTAGAGCCGTATTTAATCCCCGTTGTAACCTCATTCTTTGCAAAAACCGCGCTGTTGCAACCTTAGCTGCCGATCCCTAGCAATGGCACCTTTGCATCAGCTTAAGAGCCAATCGCACTAGACTTGCTAGCCTACGAGACTTGAACTTACATAAAAGCCATTCATAAAAGCAAAGGGGCAATAATAGCTCAAGGTACACGGTACGGTAGTTAAACGGTAGTTGGAGCGGTGTGCCGGGAAAATAACCTTGTTTCAGCCAAAAAGGTTGCGCAATGTCGATCCCTGAGCAAGTTTGAGCGAGGTTGAACGCTGCCCGAAAAGGACTTGTTCGCCTTCAAGGTGGCTCCCATTTTGCCATCAGGATTAAAGGAGCTCCCACTACATCTTTGTCCACCTTAGCTAGCGCTTAGACGGTGGATTCGTCGCGACACCATACACAATGGCAGAAACTCGTGAACAAGACACCACCGCGGTCATGAGCCGTAATACGGGCTCGGCAAACACTATTGCTGTCGATTCAGGTGACAATGAAAAGACCCATGAGTTCAATGAGCAGACGAACTATGTGCCAAAGCGAGCCATCATTACAGTAAGTACCAAACAACAATGATATCGCCCTGCTAACTGGATCAATAGATATTCCTCGCATGCGCAAGTGTAGATCTGCTGGCGTTGATGGACCAGACTATGCTAGCAACCAGTTTATATATCATCGGAAATGCCCTGGGATCGACAGCCCAGGTCTCGTGGATAGCAAGCGGATATTTCATGTGAGCATCATCAGCATCAGTGCGGGTGTAAACTAACAATACCAGAACTTCAACAGTCGGGCAGCTTATGTATGGGAGATTATCCGATATCTGGTCTCGAAAGATCATTCTACTATTAGGTCTTGCAATATTCTTCGTCGGATCTCTGGCCTCATCCCTGGCACAGTCTGTCTTGCAGCTCACAATCTTCCGGGCCTTTACTGGCATTGGAGGTGGAGGGCTTATGACAGTTGCGCAGCTCATAGTGAGCGATGTAGTCCCTCTGCGAGAGAGGGGAAAGTATCAAGGAATATTGGTAAGTTTGCTCTGGTCGAGGCCTTTATTATCATGGCTAAGAATATTCTGAGGGTGCCGTCGTTGCTCTCGCAAATGGTATAGGCCCTGTCATCGGAGGTGCACTCTCGTCGAGCTCTGCGGATTCATGGCGATGGATCTTCAGGATGCAACTACCACTGACGCTCTTGACGACGGTTTGTGTATTGTTCTTCATGCCATTAAAGAAAGTCGAAGGAGATTGGAGACTGTGAGTTCCAGCGGAAAATGCTACGGTTCCAACTGACGTGATGTATAGAAAGCTCAAGGCTGTTGACTTTCTGGGCATATTTCTCGCCTTGGCTGGAATGACCGTCGTCATTCTGGGATTAACCTGGGGAGGAAAGGAGTACTCCTGGAATTCCGCTCAGGTTATCGCAACATTAGTAGTAGGCGCGGCTGCATCCGTTGCTTTCATGCTATGGCAGTGGAAAGGTCCTCGATATCCATTGATACCGTGTAAGAAGCTCCATACTACAACAAAAAGCGTTCTCTGACATAAACTTAGTGCACATCTTCAAGTCGAAGATCGTCAACGGCGCATGCCTAACCATGGCCATCAACGGTTGGAACTTTGTTATGCAAGTTTATTACATCCCTTCCTTCTACCAACTCGTCTACGGCTACTCCGCCATCAAATCAGGAGTAATGCTCCTACCCATCACACTCCTCCAGACAGCCAGTAGTACTTTTTCTGGACTCATCGTACACTGGATCGGTCGGTACCGTGAGTGCATCCTGTTTGGCTGGGTATGCTGGGCCATAGGTCTTGGCTTGATGTCAACTCTTGATGAAAACACAGGCATTGGAAAACAAATAGGTTATTCGGTACTTATTGGAGTGGGTGTCGGTAATACACTGCAGCCGTGAGTTGGAATTGTGGCCTTCAGATTGGCTTGACTGACCACGATAGTGCGCTCATTGCTACACAAGCTGGCGTCGAGAGGCGTGATATGGCTGTTGTCACATCATTTCGCAAGTAAGTGACAGACCCATAACGTGCCCTCAAGACAAATCTGACCAAACATGATAGTTTCGTGAGAAACCTTGGAGCAACATTAGGACTTGCTGTCTGTGGGACAGTTCTGTATGTCAAGTCAAATAACCATTCTAACTAATATTCACTGAGACCCCTTTAGGAACAACGTCTTAGCAGATTCTCTATCATCCTTGAACCTAGACGGACATGACTCAAAGACATTGCTCGGGAACCCTCAGACATTTCTAGACACAGTCTCACACAGCGAAGCTGAAAAGATCCGCTCAGTTCTCATCCCAGCTTACAGACAAGGATTCCGTATAATATTCCTCATAGGCGCTGGCGTCGCGAGCCTTGCATTCGTGCTAGCGTTTTTCCTAATGCCACAGGTTGATCTTACTCGACCGGACGACTCCCGGCTCAAGGAGGAAGGTCGTAAGGCCTATGAGAAGAGAGAGAAAAGCTCAGTATAGTGGTCGTGATGATTGTGACTACATGATAACATTTGGGGAAGGATGTTGTCATCTGGGTTCTATAGACAAGGGAACTATGGCTAGTGTTTGAAAGACGGTTCAGGTTTTGTCCACGGAGAGTGTTTTTATTCTTCATACCAATATTGATACAACTACCGTATAATATATAATCATCGAAGAATTACTGCCTTTCCACCCAGCTTTGAATCAGACCTTCTCTAGTTTCCAGATACTCGACTAGAAACACGCTGTCATCCTCCAGTCTGGTATTTATCGAGGACCCTTTATCGCCTCGACTGACGCTCGCCATTGCAGAGCAGCTTCGTCCATTGAGGCCAAACTCTCAAGCAAGCTGGATCCTTGCTGTAGGTCTTTGATGCACCTTGCAACATGGAACTCATTAGTCCTTTTTCAGCCATGAAACTTTCAACATGCATTGATGAATGTATCGGTACATGCAGATTACCCTTGAGAACAAGGAACGTGGAGGCCGCTCAAGCTGAAATGTGCAGGAGAGAGGTCATGTGGTTATGAGCCAGGCCTCCCATTGTTGACCGGTATATGCAATCTCCTCATTTTCAGCCTCAAACTTTAAGGGTGTCTTATATATATTGGCGTTCTAGGCGCTTGTGTCACCCCAAATTATAATTGCTTACGAAGCGGCCTGGGACGGGGGTTATGATATGTTTTGCCAACCCAATCACAAAGGGCAACGTGTTGGGGGCTTGATCAACATCAAGTATGTGCCGCACTCTCCAGCTCACGCCAGGGCAGGTTATCAGCCTTCCTTGAGTAATGTAGCCTAGTTTTAAGGTAGCCCAGAAGATCGGCGATGCTGCCTGTTCAATCCATGGATTGGAAGGTCGGTTACATCGTAGCGCCCAACTCAGTGTCCTTCTCATCACACGCATGAATGCCGGGCTGTCGATGCTTCCATACCCAGTGAAGCGCTCGCTTTTATGAGGCACTCGCTGTCATGTTACGTGACAAAATGATAAATTTGAGCTGCATCCTGGAACAAGATCGAACAACTCAGCCCTTTCTCATACACAAAAAGACTTCCCAACTTTTACGCACCATCTAAACCCAAGGTCAATTCCCCTTGTTCTATTATTGCACATCGTAGTATGGATAAGGCTTATAAAACCCTGTCTAGATGTCGCTGTCCAGTACTCAGCCCAAGATCGATATCCCCTTTGATGAAGACTTTGGCGAGCACAGCGTTTCCCATAGCATCAGTCGCCGAGGACCGAAGGTGGTCAAGGTGAAGCACCAGCCGTGGAAAGACACCTACAGTGTCGGCCCTACCGATGTTCCGGCTACCTTGTCTCTTCATGACAAGCCCTTGTACAAGGGTGAGCATCTTGACGTGTCGTGTGGGTATCCTTCGGGTACTTAAGTGAAGCAGAACTTATCTGCTCATAGGGAGACAAGATATGGCCATATAGTCATCAGAACTTCAGTATAGCTTGGAGAGCTAGGATCTCGTATTTTTATCTTCTTACAGATTGAAATGAATGGCCTATTATTTCTGTCATCTTACGATACCGCACTACACTTGTGAACCGTACAACCGTCTATATTGGACTCAATGCCCTAAGCTCGAACCCTCCACTGAGCGCACTTTCAGAAACATACCACGACCTTTACTTCAATGCTTTCCCGTGCCCTTGTATTCTCTGAGGTATTTGTCAATTCAAAGCCCGTGTGAGGAGTTCCTGTTTAGTTAACAATGTCCAGTAGCCACCAGGAGATGTTGGTAGAAGGGCTATAACTAACGCGTTTTGAAGGCTGAGTCGTAGTTGGTAATAACAAGCAACTCATCCTTGCTCTGATCGGAGAGGTAGAACCATTTATGATCTGGGGAGTGCTTGAGCAGAAATGACTCGCTCACGAAATCTGGATAGATGTAGTCACTCTCGACAAGGTCGCTGTCAACGACAGAGCGCGCATCGCAAAGTGCCAGTGGGTAGTCTCGTAGGGGGGAAATAGGGGCCTTCAGAGGCTATGACATAGTCTGTCAGCTTATAAACTGTTGGACAGAAGTCCCACTCACCTCAGTAGCATGTGTCGCCAACGAAGAATATCCCTGCAACATCGGGATAGTTGAAACGAATGCGAGCCTCTGCTCCCGCAGGCGAAACGTCTAGCACAAGATCGGTTAGTATTTAATGTTTGGCTTGTTCCTACCGCGTTGGCTTCAACTCACCCACCTGAACAAAGTTACTTTGTGGGCGAATGCGAGGGTCCAGTCGATCCAGTCGCCGTTTGCGCACCTGGAAACACAATTATCAATTCCGAGGCACTTCACCATCTTGTGTTATATTGTACCTGGTATTGAAATGTCAAAACTTTGTCGGCCTTGAAATGATCTTGAATAAATTCTTCCAACTCGTTAACATACCGAGTTACGCTACCATCCGTCTTGAAGTCTTTCGTTGTCGTTTGCGTCACCCATTCAAAGCCATGGGTGCTCAACGAGACTTCCGCTGGGAGGGCTCTGGCGTCCTGGACCTCAACCGCGCGAGGTTCAAACCTGAAATTGGTCCTCGGCACGTCAGCAGAGACATTGCCCGTTATCTCGTACGGCTTGGTATCTTCCCACAGGGCCTCCGGCGCGAGATAGTTCACGGTTAACTTGACAGCCATAGAGATAGTAAGGTTGGTTTGTTGGTTAGGGTGAGATATAATAGAGTTCTGACGTTTAACAATGAGAGTTAGAGTCTGGGCAGTTCTAGCACTCTGGGGCATGTCTTTATTTATACCATAAGAGCAAGTGGCAATAAAGCTTGCGGGAGGGCTAAAGGTGGTGCTATTAAAGCATCTAATATAATTACAGAAATGCCCTAATCTCAAACGGCCCAAAATGCGGTCTTGCCACTCTCAAAGGAGTAAAGAGCAACTTGAGTTATTTTATCTTTATTGATTAGGGTACTGCTGCAGGTATCATTTGCCTTGGAGCCCCGTCTGACAGCCGCCGTCCGTCGACCAGGTGTGCCGAGATATTACTGGCGGGCCTCTGCAGAAAGCTCTACACGAGTAATACATCATCTTGACTCGTTCTTCCCACAATCTAAACGATATAAACCCTGGTATATACCCGTTTTGTGGTCATAATGTCGGGTCCCTGCCACGTCTTTAGGATATGCGGCTACTATGACGATCATTTTACAGTTTGACTAGTGAAAGGCCCAATCACCTTTATCGGAGGCATAAAGCCCGAGGTCGTTCTATTGGCTACTCTAAAGATCATGTTGATGGTGCAGGGCTTTCATGCACTCCTCGGAGAAAAGACTGGGGTTGATATGCGGTCATTGGCATGGTTCAGAGACGTTGAGATGATGGCGGAACGAGCAAGTGGCCACGGTCTCAGACTGACGGATTTTGCTTGACTTGATATAGTTTCTCTCATATCCTCCAGAAAACATATCTTTCAGGGTAAAACGCTCCCCAATATTATTCAAACAATGGCTGGTTTTAGCCAAGGCCATCAACGTGCTCTCCTCCCTGCCGCCGAACTTCCGCTTGCCCCTACACCCCGTATCGTCCTCCCGCGTTACCCCAGGGCTGGTGTCACGACTGCCTGTGAAACTTGTCGAAAGCGAAAGACCAGGGTTAGTCCCTTGCATACACTTCAAACTGGTATCTAATAATTTAGCGCAGTGCAGTGGGAATCGACCGAGGTGTAAAGGCTGCATCCGCGCTGGTTCAGACTGCAGCTATGCGCCTATGGATAAAGATCACGAGTTACGACAACGTTATGAGCATCTGCAAACTGAAAAGGTGGAATATAAAAGACTTGTCGACTTGCTACGATTACGAGACCACAAAGAAGCGAATGCCATTCTTGATATGCTACGCCAAAACACGAGCGTGCACGAGGTTCTCCGTCAAGCTGAGCACGGCGATATGTTATGCGAACTGTTCCTTGTGTCCGAAGATAGGTATGCTATATGATTTCTTATTTCTTGGCCTCATGGATTTCCTAGCCTTGCGTACAGACACCTTGTGACTGACCTAACCTCAGAGTATGTAATAGCTCGAGCTGGTTGCGAACCGTCGAAAGACCTCGCTCGCTGTCAGCTGATAGTCACTGAGCCGGCTTCTCAAATTCCCTTCCCATACTTGACCTTTGGCCATCTACCTGGGACCCATCTTACTGCGGCATTGCCTTGTCTCAGCTTCACCGCATGAAACTTTGTGAACCAGGCAGAATGATGAGTGGTTATGAAGCTCTTCTACTCAGGATGAACTATCAAAACGAATTCACGTGATGGGCATGCTGAGATAGCTAGCTTCTAAGCCTATACGGACTTTATGGGGGGCTCGCTGGAGAGACGCGGGTTGTGGATATTTCATGGGCATAGTTGAAGCTATCGGAGGTTACATTCCTTAGCTAATAAAGATGAGTATTCAGGACCTCAATTTGGGAACATCTCGCAGTAGCATCAGTCAGTGACACTTCTAATAGCCGCATAGCCGTCTCAGCACACATGAAATATACATTCGCAACATAGACGCACCCAATAATTTTATAGTCAAACTAGATGCCAGGTGAGTGTACGAATTTCCATCGAGGTTAGGTCTGTGGAACTTACTTAATCGTGGTGCCATTAACCTCGCGCCCAAACGAGCAGTTGGTGGCTCCAATATCCTTATTGGATGATGACTAAATCAGATACGCCGTTGCATGTCCATGTCACGCAATCCAATAGCTTCTCTCCTCAGCAGAGAACTTCCACTACATACCAATTCATTATGGCAGAATCAGCTGAAAGCTGGAGAAACACAAACAGAACCCTGCATATCTTGGAAAATGCCGTCAGGGGCAATTACGGGGTGTTAGCAGCAATATGGTCTGCCTTCCGTAGCACCATAGGCCCTTCTTACTGACCATAATTAGGCAAAGCCGAACTGAAGAGTGACTTTTGAACGTAGTAAGAAGGGGACCTTCTAGCTTTACCTCTTTAAAGTAAGGGCAATAGAGTTTACTAAGGAATCTACTGACCGGCTATTGGTTAGATTTAGTTAATTAGACTGGCTATCAGTCCGTTAGAGGCCTACAGGGTCTTTCCTAAAAGTAAAGCTATTGTAAGATTAAAGGCAAGAGGGAAAAGGTTAAAGTACTAATTAGTTAGTTAGTTAGTTAGTAAAAGGTCCTTCCGGAGCCGTAGGTAACGGATTAGGTTGCCCTTCGCTTAAGGAGGCCCCTAGCAGGGTCCCCAAAGGGTTGCTAAAGGCAAAAGCCGGCTACAGGCCCCCCTAAAGGGTAGTTATGAAATCCCCTCTATAAAGATCAAAGAAAACCTTCTCTATTAGAGAAAAATTCCCTCTTTTAGTACTATAGATAGCTTCAAGAAGAAGAGGCATAGCAAGAAGAGGCACAGCAAGAAGAGGCACAGCAAGAAGAAGACCGTGGGGTCAAGCTAGGCGGAGGCATTTGCCTCGCCTAGGATGACAGCCTGTCAGCATCAGGGTCTTGTAACTAGTTATAATATTGAACATCTCACAGCCATAGTCAAAGCAGCCGAAGCAAAACGATCTCCATTGATCCTCCTCCTGTTTCCTTTTACTCTGAGACAACTACCAACTCTAGCCTGGGCAGCATCCGTAGCTACAAAATCAGCGACTGTTCCGCTCTCACTACATCTCGATCATGCACAAGACGTATCTCAGATTGAAGTGGTTGTTAGAACTTTACCTTTCGACTCTATTATGGTCGATATGAGCCACTATGATCACGAAGGAAATCTTGGCAAGACCGCTGCACTGACGGAGTTGTGCCATGAGCGGGGTATCGCCGTTGAGGCTGAGAGTGGACGGATCAATGGAGGGGAAGATGGCATTGCCGATACTGGTGATCTTGAAGGTGAGTGACGCTCATTGCCGAAGAAACAGAGGCTGATACAGAGATAGTCCTGTTTACTACTCCCAAGGAAGTAGAGGACTTCCTCAAAGCAGGCATCGATATTCTCGCCCCAAGTGTTGGCAATCTTCATGGCGACTATGGTCCCAAGGGACCAGAACTTGACCTTGCCAGACTCTCATCCATTTATCAACAGATCCGTGGACGTGCAGCCATGGCGCTTCACGGGACAAATGATTTTACCGCTGAGATCATGCAGGACTGCATCAAAGCTGGCACCGTGAAGCTCAATGTCAACAAGTTACTTTTGGAGGTTTGGCACGTCCATTTGAAGGATAATACACATAAGCCTTTTATGCAGCGTGTAGATGAAGGGATAGAGATACTACAGGCTGAGGTAGAGAGATGGATAGAAATTTGCGGAAGTGCTGGTAAGGCATAGTTAAGTTCATTAGGCACGACACTTGGAAATTGTAGAATGCTTAGCAGTTAAGGACAATTTGATAATGGCAGTTGTTCTCATTATTTCGATACTGAGTTCCAGATACACTAGTAACCGTTTTCTATTTCGTGCTCATGTGCCCCTTTCCGGAGACCTATGGCATCATATACCATCAAAAGATTACTATGCCCAGTATGAAATAAGCCAATAATACAAACACTGAATCGAGATTAGATATAAGCTCTCGTCATATCTGGTGATTGCCTGTTTTTCTCTCTATGATAAATAAAACACACTCTGGCGTAAAATGCGACAATCTTTCGACGATCGCATACTATTCTTCTCTTCTTCGTTCCGCAGATTCTTTCGTCGGTGGTTTCGTCTTCCAAGTCTTCATCTGTATCACCCTCCTCATATTTATCTTTCGTCCTGGGTGAAGCTCAATCGTCTAGACTGCTATGTATCAGATTTCCCAACAACGGAGCGTCCACATAGACAAATGGGCGCTTCTCCCAGTACTCCTGCCATTGTCTGGGCGAGAATCCTGCCAATCTTTCTGGCACAGTGTCTGTCTGGTGAATGAGCCTATAGAAATGGCGATAGATGGCCTCTCGGGTCTGAGACCACAGCAGCCCAGCATGGTGATTAGGTGGTAGGGGGACAGGCTCGCAGCCTGGGCCAACAAATCCAATATATGTCATGGCGCTATAGATCTCCTGGCTGAGTTCATTGGGAGGCACTTCGAGGCCATGATAGAAGCCTTGGTATATATGGGCTCCCTGTCGAATAAACTCTGCTATGACAGAATCATTCCGCTCAACCTCTTGCAGATAAGTGATGAGCGGTGTGTTACCAAGACGGTCCCATCTGTTGATGTCAGCTCCATGGTCCACAAGGGTCTTGATCAACTTGACTGCCGGATGCACCATGCCGTCTAAGGAGCTGTTTATGAAGTGGAGAGGAGTCTTTCCAAAGGGGTCTGTACTATTCGGATCGATCCCCTCCATAAGTAGGCACTTTGCCATGCTTACGTCTCCGTTGCTCACTGCCTGATGAAGAGCGTTGAGTCCTGTCCCAGTATGGGTCGTAAAATCAGCACCAGCCGAGATGAGATATTCTGCAATCTCAATGTTGCCGCCCTCCACAGCAAAGTATAAAGGATTTGCACCTTGCTCTAACTTCATGAATCGATATTGGTTGTCGACGGCTCGCGGAGATCCCAAAAATCTCAACCCTAAGAACGCATTATTCGCCAGAGCCCTGTTGGCGAAAGTGAAGGGGTAATAATCTATGACAGAACAATCCTGGTCCGGCTGATCAGCCGGCAACATCGGGAGAGTAAACCCCTCACGAGCATCGATGCGGACCCTATGGTTGATGTTGGCCTCGTGATTCAGGAGCAGAGACACAATGTCCTTGTGTCCATTGAAAGCGGCCCAGTGAATGGCAGTTACTTGGTTGTCAAGGTGCAAGGGAACCCTATGGCCAGTCTTGACAGCATTTGGTCCGGTGGTGTAGTAGGTGACTGCCTCCGTCGCATCATCAGAGTGGATGTTAGCTCCTGCATCAAGGGCCTGCATGACGCCAGCAATTTCACCACGCTTGGCCGACATTAGCAGGGCTGCCGACTGGTTTTCCCTCATATCTCTAGTATAGATTTGCTTCGTCACCAGCCTGCGGATGTCCTTACAGGTCGCTGCAAGGTTGAGAGCATCCACGTACACCTGAAGAGGGTTGTGCTCGGGTTCAGGCTCAGACCAATAGTCCCATTCCCAGCTCTGCTCTATGTGGAGGCTATTTTCATCCAGTATTTTGTCGATGATACACTGGATGATTTCTGGGGGGAAGTTGTTGAAGGTAATTGGACGTCCAGTGACGCCAGAAGTCTGAGGAGACATAATGTTTTACACGAAATGAAAGTTCGGTAAAGAATTTGACTTCGGTTAACGGTCTCTCTGAGGTTCAGCGAAAGATGTTCGACTGTAGGAAAGAAGTAAGGGCATAGCTATTCAGGTAGGGGTGAGACTCCCTATTTATAGAGACTCAGGGTTTCATCTGGCGACTGGTTGCTGATTAGTGTTGTCAGATCTAAATTATGTATTCGAGCTTTTACTATTTAAAACTTAGAGGTAGTAGATCGTCGAATCTACGTATTACATTCAACGAGTTATCGTGGTCGTACACGAAGCTCCCTTGCATTCACCACCTCGAGTGACGTCTCTCACTTCCGAATAGAAAATACACCACTATCCGTATAATATTTAGCTTCCAGAAATAGTTTAATCTTTTTTTTTTTTTCGAGATACAGTCTTATGATATCGTTGCCAATGCAGGTCCGATGAAACAAGACGTGGTTGCAATTAACATCTTGGCTCGATACTGGAACCACGCTTGTATTAAGTCAGGCGTTCATTAAGCTAAATGAAAGAATAAATCTTTCAATACCAAAGTTTCCTGCAATTATAAAAGCTAATATCGAGGTTAACGAAATATACATTCTGCTATAAAGTATAACGGTCTAAGCGGTGGTGAATTGAGTACTATCAGTACACTCTTAGAAGCCCTGATACTTCATCTCTGCGCCTCAATCGATAAATTTACTATGGGGTCCCGTTCTTATACTTTTTCGTGGTTGCGAGGTCATTCGGTGTTGCTTACCACCAAGTTTCGATGGTCGTTTGGTGTCCGGAGCCGAGAGTGGGGCCGATCCGGCACCAATTCCGTTGCAAAGATACGTATCCATCCATCATGGGGAACCTGAGAACCTGACGGCTGCACTGGGGACTTCCAAACAGGTATGAGGGCTCTAAAAGTCTGCTGAGAATGAGTTGAGGGCTAGTGGGAATAAAGCTCATGTTCGACAAATTAATCTGGTGAGTAGCTCAGGAACAAACTCTGTGGAAGAAGTGTCTTCGGCCTCAGCCAATCAACGAAGAGACCCCACGAACTCAGAGCAATGACATCAATGACCTCGTAAGTAGTTCACTCAAAGTGCCGACGCTGATAACAATTTGCCAGAAGCATACTCATATCATCAGAGTAGCAGAGAGAGCCCTTCAACAAAAGTCATCGATACAGCAACAACTGGAGTATTTCCCCATAGAGTATTCGGAGACGGGCTGATTACAAAGACTGTTGTAACAATCGCGCAATGTGTGTGCCTTGATCCGATGTGGGTTCAACCTCCACCAACTTCGGATTACCAAGCCAAATCCAGCTGTACAATGAATAATCCATCCAATCCCCAGAAAAATGGAACCCCTCACCATGCCGTAGCTCTACGGGTACAGTATTTGTAACCTCATATCATCATATAAAGTGCCTTTCCCCTCATTCAAGCTCAATCCTCGTATCTACACCCTCAAATTAATGACATCGCGCATCGCCCAATTGGGAAAACAACTCTTCACAATGGCTCAAAAGACCAAGACCGACATCACCCTCTACACCACCAACACGCCCAATGGCATCAAACCTTCTATCCTACTCGAGGAGCTGAACCTCGAGTACAAGGTGAACCCTCAAATTTTACACTCATGAGTACCACTGACAGTTTCAGGTGTATCCCATCAAGATGACCGAGAATGAGCAGAAGGAGGAGTGGTTCCTCAAGATCAACCCCAACGGTCGCATCCCTGCTCTCACTGATACTCTCGATGGCAAGCAGATCCGCGTCTTCGAGAGTGGTGCTATGTTGCAGTACCTCGTTGATCGTTACGATAAGGATCACAAGCTCTCATTCCCTCATGGGTCTGCTGAGCATTGGGAGATGACCAGCTGGGTGAGTTTCTCAGTCGTTCTGTCAGATCATAGCTAACAGTTCGTAGCTCATGTGGCAGATGGGTGGCCTCGGCCCCATGCAGGGTCAAGCAAACCACTTCAAGCGTATGTTCCCACTCATACAGCTCATGATGCTATACTGACATTTGCAGGCTACGCTCCTGAGAGGATTGAGTACGGCATCAACCGCTACACCAACGAGACTCGTCGTCTCTACCGCACCCTCGACACTCATCTTGCCCAGACATCATCCGGCTACATCGTCGGCGACAAGGTGACCATCGCCGACATTTCCATCTGGGGCTGGGTCTCCAGCGCAAGTGAGTCTTCTCTCTCCCCTGCATCATCACCACCATTTGCTAACACCAAACAGAATGGGCTGGTGTCGATCTCTCCGAGTTCCCCCACCTCGAGAAGTGGCTCTACAAGCTCCTCGAGCGTCCTGGTTTTGAGGCAGGCCGTCATGTTCCTACGCGCCACACCGCATTTGAGCTGGCCAAGCTGAGTGAGGAGGAACTTGAGGCCAAGGCTAGTGCGTCCAAGGCTTGGGTTCAGTCTGGTATGAAGGAAGACGCGAAGAAATAAATAATAAGAGCATAAATTAAGCGTGATACATTCTGTTTTGACTATCTCCCAAATTACTTGTAGCTGTCTTACTTCTTCACCACAGCCAGTTGGCTTCGAACTGGCACGTTCTCCTCTCTGCCAACCTCGGGGAATCCCTCAACCTTGACGCCCTTGCGGAAGATAACACAATGCGTCGAGCCTCCAAAGTGGAACATACCCGTCTCCTGTCCCTTCTTGACGTGCTGTCCCTCCTTAACCGTAATCTCACACGTGCTAACCTCATCCATACCAATGCCAACGAACGCAATAAGTCCAATTGCCGGCTCATCAGCCTCAATCAGAATGATAGCCCTCGTCGCCAATGCACTCAGGTATCCCTGACTCTGCGATAGTCCCGCTGCCGAGATCTCCGTCGATCCAGGTTCGCCTACACCTTCAAATAGAGGCTCGCTGAAATATGTACCGTCTTGTACAAAGGCACGTACGATCTTACCGGAGACGGGAGTGTGCCAGCGGTGATAGGAGAGAGCTGACAGGAAGGCTTGGTAGATGGTTCCGCCGGCGAACTTCTCGGCGAGAGGATCATGGGCCAGCATATCGAGGATAGAGTAAGGTTGGCCCTTTGCGAAGAAACGATCGCGGAGTTTCACGTCGCGTTCAATGTTGTAGACGCGTGATTCGCAGCAGTTGGCGATAACGAGGTCGTCATCTGGTGAAGCAACGGGACGAGCACTGTCGCGAACCTTGCGGGTGAAGAAGTCTATACGAATTTGTCAACCGCGGCTCATTCTGGTGAATTTCTTCACTTACCATCCCAGGACTTGAAGCCGTAGTATTTGGCCGAGGGGTCACACTCAAAGACCTCCTCAAACTTGAAGTTCGTTTTGTTGGGCTTGTTGGCGACCTCGACGAGATCATTCAGGCCCACGGGTCCGAACCAGCCTTGCGTGTGCTCTCCCAGCACCTTGGCAGATTCAGGCGTCTATCTGTCGTCAGCATGACTCTCTTGATAACTCATATGGATCAACATACCAAGAGGAACTTGCCCCAGTGGTTGAGAACCTTCTTCAGCATCCGATTCACATCAGGATCCAAAAACGCCGCATAACCGCTATCTCAGTCATCAGCAATCACCTCTATATCTCATATCTCATGAAACTCACCTAGGCGTTCCCATAGGATAGTCAAAGATGGCGCAGAGCGGCACACCAACCATGCCCACACTCTCCGCCGCATCCGTCCACTCTGGCGCCGTGCTAAAAATATGATTGAGCACCTGCAGCATATGCTCATAGTCCCTCAACTGAGGTGTTCCAGTAGGGTCATTCTGGTAAGGATGTTTCTGGGGGATCTCCTCAAACATCTGGATGAAGTACATGTACACGCGGGGCGTCTTCTCGATAAAGTCCTTGAACTCTTGGAGAACGGGGGTGAGCTCTTTGGGGTTCTCATCAGCGTGCTTCGTCACGCGACGCATGTACTCTCTGTGCACGCGATGGTCGGCGGGAAGCCATGCTCCGGGTCTGCGAGTGTCAGTGCATGCTGAGGTTGTGGTAGAGACTGTAGGTCCTACTTGTGAATGCGGTGCTTAGCGGGAATTTTATGATGATCTCCGTGCTGATGAACCATTGTCACTGATGATATCTTGCACTGAAGCAATTATAAACATGTAAATGAATTCTAAATGCCAAGAAAGGTCCCAGGAGATCTCCCGATCTATATATAAATGCCCCATAGTCTACCCAAGCCCAGATCCAACTCTCTCGCTCACTCACTCACTCGCTCTACGTCAGCATCTCGATGATGCAACCTAACAAGCCAAACTCCACACGCAGGCATTACCGCATCGCATTAGATCCGAATTACCCGTTTCTGGAATGCCGTTACCCGTACGCAATTCCCTGATAATTCTTCGTTTTAATAATGAGAACTGCATGAATTCACGCGGAGTTTAATGTGCCGATCTCCCGATTGAAACGCGTACAGCCAAAGGGTAATGATGACGTTGTGGGCGTTTTTGAGACCGGGTTTTCCGAAAAAGCTTCAGAGCTGAGGGGTAACTCGATGATATTGGGGGTGATATCTTGTTAGAACAACTTGTTTCGATATAGAATACCTGATATTCAGCTGGAGATGCTCAGTCTTCATGCCAGACACAAACCTCTGCAGCATCGTGATAAACACTCGTTCAAGGTTTCTTGGCACATACCGCTCAAGGCTCAAAGAAACAATAAGAGCCTGAGGTCATTCACAAACACAACACGGCACGGCATCTAATAATTTAACGTCTTGTTATTGATTCACTCAACTTCGCTCTCCAAAACCTCCAATAACAAGAGAACTGAGCAGGTTCCAGTCGCTAGAACAAACTCACGCCACCATCACCTACACTCTCGCTCACTCAGAGTGATTCCCACCACAAGGCCCATCAATTCTATCATCCCACTCCAGTTCATGTCCCCTCCTCCTTTGGCAAGAATATAACAAGAAGTACCATTTTAACGGCAAAACCACTCAACTATCAAACCGTCAAACCGCAAAATAAGAAGCT